TTTAATCTGTACTGCCACACCATATTAATTACGGTCATATGAACGAATCCTGCGTTCTTTGACTTCTCTTCAGTACTATAAAAAGAACATCAGAGGCGAATGGATTTCATTCCCAAATGAAAGAGTAAACTGTGACCCTTGTTCTTTCCGGGTACATATATACGTATATTGTCTATCTTAATTACTCTTGTCACGAAGGTAATCACATTTGTGAGATTCCCAGTTGAGCGTTCTAGTTGCAAATCAAAGAGAGGCTTGACGAGATTTGTTCTGATATCTTGTCACTCTCGGTGGGTCCCGAATGTAGGGAACAAGATTCAAAGTGACAAAATAAAACACCTCCAAATCAAAATATCCAGAAAATATTAAATCAATTAGGGAGCCATGGTGACACACACATGACGACTTCCTTTGATTCAGGCGTGGTTTGGTATAATTTTTAATGAAATAGCTGAGATCAAAGATGGACGCGCTTTTGTTGAGGCATTCCTCAGCGAATACTGCCGACCGAGACCGACTGGGACCGACAATACCCGAGATCTGAAGGCGTCAGACATCGCCTTTAATTAGTCGTCGCTCGTCCTTGGATCACAGGTGAAGGTTACACGAGGGAGAGATTTTTCTGGTTGAGAGATAGAGAAGAAGATGACGAAAGAAGGAGAGGGAGGGAGGAATGAGAGGAAAGTAAGAGCCTGAGGATACAATGTAGACGAACTGAAACAGTTTATGTCTATTTCAAGGCGGTATTTATTCAAATGAAAATATCACTGGTTATTTATGATCACGCTCTTAAGACATTTTCACGAGTTTAACAAGCATATTTCCCACGTTTTGCAATTTTGTATTTGGATGCCTTCACATGTACATAACGACAATGAAATTGATTCAATTATTTCAAAGTTATTGGCCCTAACGTCCCTCTCACAAGGGGACGTAACTCTCGAACGATTTAAACATCTCCGTCAACACGCTCGTCTGTGCAAACTGATGGCAAAATTATCTAAATAAGCTAGGGGTGCAGGAAAAACTACCTGTGTTGATTGACAAGTGAGAGAGAGTTATTGAAAAGAAGGCGGAGACAGTGTCTGGAATAGCCAGAGGCGGACAAAATAACAACCTAATATCGCGCAAATATTGCTCAAACCAAACTTATCAAGCTGTGGCCGGCAACCACGACGTCCCTGCCACGGCAAGGATCTAATTAAAGCAGTCACCGAGCTGCAGGCATATTCGACGGTCATAATTACAACTTTCATCCCCGATGTAAAAAATGTACCAAACAAGCATTATTTTTTCCTAAAGAAGAGCGGGGAAACCTTTCCAATGGCAACTTTTCTGTCTCATGACTTCCCCACCGTCTCCGATCGAGCTTCAAGCACCCTAGAGGCATGAGCCAGCCTGGGGGTAGGGGGAACCGTGGAGGAGGAGAGGAGCAAGGGGGGACACAATGGAAGCCATGCAACTTACTACCAATCCCGTGTATCCAATCTCGTCTGCTTTGCACTAATGGCGGGAAATGTAAGCTATTCACTTTGAGTGCCTACCTAACGAGGTACCAGCTGAATTAGAATGTATACACATCTCGAATTCTCCAAAGCCTGTTTAATGGGCGGATACAAGATTTTAGTCGCTTTGAAAACACTTTTAAACTTTTTATCACCAGACATCTTCGGAGTACGAAGTATTTCTCCTTTCATCAAGTGGCGCGTGGTCGGTCGTCTGCCGGTGTGTATGCGCGCGCATGAAAGAGACACGTGCTTACCTGTACGAGTTTGTGACACGTGATTTCTCTTAATAACTTCCGTAAATCATCTTAATGCAGTGCAACGTCTATTGGCAGCTTTTACATTCGTCCGTATTAAGGGCCACTGGATTCAGACAACATGCAATCGTTTATAGGGATTACTTTATATCACCATTTATGCTCAAGGATGCAGGTGGTTTATTCAAAATTATCCGATTTATCCTGACTCTAATTGAAAAAGTATTGTTAAGTGTCACTGTGGGTACCTCTACAAATAGTCTGTTAATAACAATTAGACCGTTTACAACCGACAAAACAAGCACTCTGATTTCAAAGTGTAGAGAGACACCACAAAGACCAACTAAGGTGCTTTATATTCAAGGAGTCATTTTATACAATGGTGAATGACTGGAGGTTATCATTAAAATCAGAAACACAACGCAAGAATAACTTCAACCCAATGCATAGTTATTCATAGTGATTATTGAAACTGTTTTGAAGTTTTCTCGAGTGGCAATAATTTCATCAATATGGCAGACACGCGTTCTGCTCGTGGTTGGAGTCTTTCTTATGTACGTAATATGGCACGACATGCGTATCTTTAAAATAATCATTTTTTTAGAATTCTAAGACACAACCTTTTACCAAATTGCCATCCAAGGTAATAAACGTGGTAAATAAAAGTAATTGGTTCTAAAATGCGCAAGGAACCGCCATTTAGATCGCCCTTGCCACTTCACACAGCAATCCGTTTCCTTTTAATCCCGAGCTTTGCATCTCCAAGTACAAAGAGCCCAAACAGAAAAATATCAACCCTAAAGACTATTTGAACATTTCATTAGCTACAGAAAACATACCCCGATCAACCCATGTGTACAATTCCCATAACGCAACCCTCAAATTTGTTAATTACAGCAATTAGTCGCTAGTTCAGATTCGTAGACCCGAATAAAAAAACTTAACTTACAAATTGCTTTATTTTATATTTCCAGGTGAGGTCATGAAAAATCGATCACAACAAAAATCTTGAAAGTTTTTCTTTACCCCATGCATGAAAAGAAAGTTTCTTTGGTTTGGAACTTCCTCCTTGATGACGTCATGATTCACGCACAGGTTACCAAGCAACAAGTAATAATGGACTGCTTAAATCAAACCGGGTGTAGTGTTTCCAAAATAACATCCATTTCAATCTAACTCTAAAATTTGCAAGATGTCCAACTAAAATACCTGTTTTTATCAACAATATAACAACAAAACGTACCAATTTCCATCACCCACTCCTGTAGTAGTACGAGTGACAACGGAGAACACAGTGGGCGGGGAATATTATGTACGTTTCATATTTGATTGACAGGTCTGCCGCGGCGGTGAGTAATATCATCTATGAGAATACAACATGGTTAATGTCCCATATGAAAGCCACAAGATGGTATACGAGCCTGTTGAACATTTAAAAATTCTTTCAAAAAGCGTTAGTAGCTCAGATTCGGTTCGGAAAGCGACGAATCTCCTCATCTGACAACAATCTCGTCATTGGTGCGTTACACATTCGAGTCATATCACCTACTTCAAGAAACGTTTTCTTATAAAGTTAAATATTTTATGAAATATTAAATGTTGGTTCACTAAGTATCTGATTTGGTGGTCTTGCACAGCTGAAAATATGTACTTTGCACCGACCATCAATGATAACTTTATCAAAAATTATATTGACTATATTGAAACATTCTATTGCATTGCAATGGCGTCGAAAGTATCATTTATTATGGTTCGTTCAACAGAGGGGGAAGACCGTGTTCAGGTAGTGGACAATGTGAAGATTAATGTAACTTATTGCACATGGGATCGGATATTTCCAGACACTAGATATATTCATTATCGTCCTCATCATCATCGCCATTGTCACGATGTCGTCCTCAAAATCATTGTCATCATTATCATCACTATTAAGGCTCAACATTTATGAATGTCTGGGGCGATGGGGTAGCCTAGTGGTTATAGCGTTCGCTCGGCACGCTGAAGGCTCGGGTTCGATTTCACAATATGGGTACAATGTGTGAAGCCCATTTCTGGTGTCCCCCGCCGTGATATTGCTGGAATATTGCTAAAAGCGGCGTAAAACCATACTCACTCACTCACTCACTATGAATGTCTACGTCTTGATTATGAGGAATACAACGTTTCGGAGTATATATTCTTATTCCTTCGTCAGATAAATGACAGTTGATATCCATACATTTTCACCTTCTATTTGTATGACTTCTAAATACAGGCATCACTATCTTGTCACCATTACTATACTCATGCAAATAATGGTTGTCACCCTCCCCAACCCCACCACCTCACACACCCACCCCACACCCCCTCTCCAATTAAAAAAATTGAAGGGAGTGACAACCATTATCGTCATGAGTATATATTATGATATACGACGATGAAAAGTAACCATTCCATCACAATAATCATTAGTGTTATTGTGAGAGGAAGGGATAGATATATAACTACAGGTGTATATTCATGATCATCATAAGAGGAAAAACCACTACTACGTTATCATCATAATCATCATCATGCTCATCATGTTATAGCCCCGACCATCATATAAAATCAATCATGCATTATATCATTTGCGTTTAAGCACATTTTATTTTTTTAAATTGGATTTTGATAAAGTTATCACAACTTATTAACAATCCTCTCTAAATATAATATATCCCATTATTATCCATATCGTGGAACCTAACGTCAACAAACTGCCCTCCCCTGACATCTGACACACACACACACACACACACCCTACCCACCCTTTCTCATCTCAGGACCAAATTGAATCTATGGAATCCAGGTAAATGAATTACATCATTTAAACACAAACGCTAACACGTCCAAATGGCAGGACATCCAGAGGATACATCAGCTTAATCAATGTTAGCCACTGACACAGTTCCATTAGATGGGATGGCCGTTTAAACATGCTTTTTGTCAAACCTGCTACAGGTGAATTAGTTCGCCGAGTCGCTTAGTATGCAGGAATAGCATAGAATGTATACATTTAGGAACTGGAGGCGACGTTAATATTGTGTCTATCATATAACTGCAAAATTCTTTATGGATCCCGTCAAGCATAAGAACAATCACTACCAACTGGAAAAGTCGTGTCGATTCGACAGGGGATACAACGCAACGGTGTCCAAAATGAAACAGTTATCCATTCGTTTCGGAGATCTATGAATATGAGATGGAAAATGATACTCACCGATTTAATTCAACACTGTACGTAAATCGTTGATCACCTTAAACCAGTCTTCTACCTTCACGTCTACTTCGGCAAACAATCTGAAAAGAACGACCCGTGTGTTAAAATACATAGCCTATCGGTGATTGTCAAAGGGGGGTAACCGTTATTCCCACTCATTCAGACGTAGAGGCAGGTCAATAACAGTTTGGTGGTAGCGTGCATGTCCATGTAGCTTCGCCCAACGGTCGACAACATGGGATACGTCTACTCGGAGTGATTTTACCGAATCGACAGATTTTCAGGAAGAATTGAAAATAGCCTCACGTGGTGAATTTTCTGTATGTCAGCGCACTGCTCACACAGACGATGTCGTTCGTGACTGATGCTCGTTAAACTTATTTCAGAGGTCACAAGGTACATGAAATCAGCTCTGTCCTCTACATCTAACAGGATGGGACACATTGTGTGCTAATACTCTCTCTATACCGCCAGAGCAGCCAATCAGGGGTACAAACTGGTGGCGACTGGGCGATAATATCACGGTATGGCAGTGATGGGATTCTGGCATCACGACATATATGGCAACATGCACGCGATGACAGTGCCTGCTGCAGGAATTAAATACATGCCAACAATGGCCAGTCAAACAAATATTGAACATCCATAACAAACATGATCAGGTAATAACCGGGATGCAGTTCTGAACATTAACTGCGATAACAACTCGGTGTTTCCTGTTTAATGCTGAGGTGAAGCAGTTGTTCCTTGCGTAAATAGAGACGAAATCCGTTTACATAATCATACGAAATCTCTCCAAAAGGAGCCCCTTGCACGATTCTGACCATATTATAAGCATGCGTTTATAAATCACTTCCAGTTTGTGATGATACTAGGCGTATCCTGGTGTTCGGTTACAGCCGTCACAAATACACGTAAAGACAAGTCAATTGTTCAGGATTCTGTATCGGAAGATAGAGTAGTCTTAACTGTTAATCAAACAGATTGTACTTTGTTGTTCGACTCTTAGTCCATGATCATGTTTGATTTTAATATATTTAAATATACAATACTTTCGTTTTCCCATTAAGCATCGGTTCTTGTTTAGATTTAAAACATTTTAATTCAATACATGAACAACGTAAACATGTTTTAAAATCCTTGTCTTTAAATATTATTATGAAGTTAGTGTTCGTATTGGGATTCAAACCTTGGCCTTCACCATATATCTGGAAAAGCTTAAACTTTGAGGCAACCGGTAGTACGATGTAGTTGATAAAACGATTTATGGGGTTCTTATAAGCAACCCCAGCGCCCATTCAGGCCCAAATGTAAACCTAGTCTGACCAACGCTCCCTGAAACCATACATCCGTTACAGCTCAAGCATGAATGTATTAGTCGCCAAGCCTATATCACTTCAGTTTCTGAAAACGGCCGATTTCTTTCTAAATTAATATTATTTATGAATATTTTCAAAGATATTTCCAAGACTAGAGGCTAGTCCACTGTATACCCAAAGAAGCTAGTGTCTGTGACAACCCTCACCCCATCAACCTCATTAAAATAGTGTGACCAAGCAGTTTTTACCGAGTCCTAGGTTTAACCCTTGTTGATCTCCATTAACCCCTCTGGCTATGTGAGCTAGGTGTAACTCGAGCAGGGAGGAGCTCTAATTGAGATTTAAATGGTTAATAAGATACGTTCTGAGAAATTTACTGAATAGCTACAAAATGCCCTGACGGGTAGCTTCTAATCCCGAACGATCTGAGAAGGATCAAACAACGTCCTTGCAAGCATGACCACTCCCTGTAAACTATATACAGGATATGACCTGTGGCCAACGTATAGTGAAACCTCTCTAAACCAAACACCTTTTAAACCGATACATCTTTCTTTTTACATGACTGTCCCAGATAAACCTTACATCGTGGTCTGATATCGGCACTCTGGTTGTCACGACGTACGGGTTCTCTCGACGACAAGATAACGAGACATCAATGCACGGCTTAGTCTGTCTCACAGTCCCTGAACGGCATTATTTTCCTTCGGCCGAACCCTTTCTGTAATGCTAAAGTCTTAAATAAAGCAAGGCTAGATTTCAGGTTCAGGAGTCTCCCTTCTCACAGGGGCTCCTTTTCAATTTGAAAGGAATTGTTTGTTACTATCAAAAGTACCTACAGTGCACTCTGTCAAACTCTGTATATTCAGTGATCGTCTCTGTATAGCTATGTGGGGTTTACTTCTGTCACATGCATGGAGTACCTCACATGTTGAAAACAACCTATGCACTTAATACAGACAGTGACACACACAGGAAAAACCTCATGATTCTAACAAAAGCTAGTTCCAACAATACCTGGTTTCAAAACAACCATTGAAATAATGCCGATGTGACTTTAAATTTTAACCCACTCACTCACTCACTCAAAACAACCATGCGCCAGATCCACCCAGTACTTCATTTCACGGTCAACTGAATAATGCGACTGCCTCGCACACTCTTTGAGTCCTAATAACTAGAATCAACAGTATATAAAACATTTATTAGACATAACATGCATCACCAACCAGTCTACTCCCACTTCACGTCCACGCATACCTAAATGTATTTGAAATAGTCTTAACTACAACCATCCTTCCTTCTCCGTGCTGTTTAATACTGTTTATGACTAGCAAGCAAACGCCATTACGGCTGTACCTACGGTCAATGGGAATATAAGGTGGGGATATTTGTACTAATTTACTCGATGAAGCTACTATTCCTGACTTATCGATTACCATAGAAATGACATAATCATACCCGAAAGCAACAATAACTGCGACCAGAGAGTACTTCAGTGACCGTCAGGATTAACCATTCCTAAAGTGCTTCTTAGTTGGTAAGAATTCAACCAACATGGCATCTCAATGCGACGCCATTCCACTGCATCAGCGGCTGAATAGATGGACGATTGAATCTCAATCTTCTATGTAACCGAAAGAATGTAAATACGGGGTTGTATAGCTATCGGCTCTCAACTTAGACAAACATATCATGCCTGGCCAGTTTATTACTTGGCAAACCCGGGTACGATCTCGGCGTACTCAAAACGAATACAGTCTATCGGTGATGTTTGCAGATTTTAGAGTCCGTCATTCCATGGATTCCGAGTAAAAGTATTCTGTTGAATTTCAAGGCACTGGGTAAATATACCGTCAATTCGAAAAACTATTCTGCGAATATCGATGTGGGATTGCCTCGGTTGAGTGGCCCGAGAATTCGCCATCAGCTCATTGAAATACGGGCTTCCTCTTAGCTAACAATGCAGATCCATTGATCAGACAAAACGGTTACATAAAGGAAAACACGACCGCAAATGAAGGCATCAGCTCCCAGAATGAGAAAACCAAAATCAATGACAACCATTTAGGCGAACATTACTTGTAAGTATAATCGAATGCCTCAGCATGGAATTAACGGCAGTGCGTGAATGCGGGATTGATTCGCTAGTGGTTTGCCGACCGCAGTAAGACGGACACAGAAGCGAGGGGTCGACGTTAGCACAATGAGAATCGAAGTTTGACAGAAATTGTGAACATCAACTCTGAGATGCGGCAAGGTAGCTGTCATTAACTGGCATATTCATAGAATCTGGCTGAACTTTTTGCCCACTTCGCGTCCTCTTGTCAGTCGACTTGGTACATTCTAAGGTTGGGATCGCATGATGAAATAATCACTTAGTTATGTTGTCATTCAGGCAGAGCGCAACGTGCAAGAAATGACAGTCAATTAATTGGGTATCATCATCTGTGGATGGACGTAGAACAGGTAGATGAAGACTTTATGGGAGAGGCGGGGAGGGTCAGATGGCGGACAGGTGGTGGGGCTCTGAAGATGAGTCAATTAATAAGACAGAAGTTGGTGATGATGGGGAGAAGAAATGTCGAAATGAAGATCGACCGTGGGATGGGGGTGATAGGAGGGTGGGTGAGATGTCATCCTCACGGTGGTGAATACTGCAAGGCAGGTGCTCACAGCTTATCTTGGAGGAGTACGGTTGGAAGGGATGCGTGTATGTACAGTGAGGGTGGGGGTCATTCAGAAAGAAAGTGCAATGGGAAGATATAGGGGAAAGGAATAATAAGGACGATCGGGCGAACAGACTAATGTACATGCTGTGAGGGGTGCAATGAGTCGGTCGATTGAAACACGGGGGTGGCACTAGGTTTTACATATGGAGGTCCTGGGAGAGGATGGCAGCAGCAGGAATGGTCTTTGGTACACAGCTGCATGAACTTGAAGCGTCACATGAAGTGACTAATGAGTGTTACTTGGGAAAACAATGAGATGATGGCTGAGATTCTGGTTATAGAAAGTTAGGATTGAAAGGTGTCCACATGGATTAACGTAGCCCGACATGGCTGGATTCGAGGGGCTGGTGGCGTTTATGGCTGGATTCGAGGGGCTGGCTGGATTCGAGGGGCTGGTGGCGTTTATGGCTGGATTCGAGGGGCTGGTGGCGTTTATGGCTGGATTCGAGGGGCTGGTGGCGTTTATGGCTGGATTCGAGGGGCTGGTGGCGTTTATGGCTGGATTCGAGGGGCTGGTGGCGTTTCGAGGGGCTGGTGGCTGGATTCGAGGGCTGGATTCGAGGGGTGGTGGCGTTTATGGCTGGATTCGAGGGGCTGGTGGCGTTTATGGCTGGATTCGAGGGGCTGGTGGCGTTTATGGCTGGATTCGAGGGGCTGGTGGCGTTTATGGCTGGATTCGAGGGGCTGGCGATGGCGCGTTTATGGCTGGATTCGAGGGGCTGGTGGCGTTTATGGCTGGATTCGAGGGGCTGGTGGCGTTTATGGCTGGATTCGAGGGGCTGATGGCGTTTATGGCTGGATTCGAGGGGCTGGTGGCGTTTATGGCTGGATTCGAGGGGCTGATGGCGTTTATGGCTGGATTCGAGGGGCTGGTGGCGTTTATGGTTGGATTCGAGGGGCTGGTGGCGTTTATGGCTGGATTCGAGGGGCTGATGGCGTTTATGGGACACGATCACAAGCCTTTCCTCGATGACGGTGTTCGCATTCATCTACGGATTCATCATTGATTTTGATCGTTCTGATGGGTTT